TATTTCCCTTTTCCTTCCCTTTTCTGTCCCTCTTTTCTTCCCTCTCTTCCCTCCCTCCCTCCCTTTGCTTTCTTTCTCTCTCTTTCTCTGTTTCTCTCTTTTCCTCTCTCTCTTTATCTCTCACTCTCTCAGGCTGGAGTGCAGTGACATGATCATGGTTTATTGCAGCCTCAACCTCCCAGGCTTAAGCAGTCCTCCCACCTCAGCCTCCAGAGTAGCTAGGTCCACAGGCACTTGCCATCATATGCAGCTAATTTTTAAACTATTATTTGTAGAGCTGGAGTCTCACTACATTGCCCAGGCTAGCCTTGAACTTTTGGGCTCAAGTGATCCTCTCACCCCAGCCTCCCAGAGTGCTAAGATTATAGGCATGAGTCACCACACCCAGTCCTTTTGTTCTCTCTTAAAGATTCTACCTCCCTGCTTACATTTTCCATTCATTCTTGCATGGTGTCTGCTTTTTCCATTAGAGGCTTTTGTGTTTCAATCATAGTCATAGCTGTTTTAAATTACAGGTCTGGTAATTCTAACATCTTTGCCATGTCTGAATCTGGTCTGATGTTTGCTCTGTATTTTCAAACTATGTTTTTTGTCTTTTAGTATGCCTTGTAATTTTATGTTGAAAGCCAATACGATACACAAAGTGAAAGGAACTGAGGTACTAGTCCTTTATCTGTCCAGGGGTGAGGCTATAATTAGTGTCTGCTGGAGTTGTAGTTGTCAGAGGCTAAAATTTCCCGATAGCCTCGTTTTTGTCTCCTATGTTGTCTCTACATTTCTCTAGATACCTCTTCTGAAATCACATGTGAGAGTCACAGTTCTTACAGTTGCATGTCCTTGTTATTATATAAGAGCCCTCTTGATGTGTTTGTAAGGTGTAGGGAAGGGGAAGTGTTCTCAAATCCTATGATTAGCACTCAACCTTTTAATGAGCCTGGGTCCCTGGGCTGTGACCTCAGTTTTTATTTTCTCTACCTTAGGTAGACAGAAAGGTTAGAGGGAGCTGGAGCTGGGGATTTCTCTTTTTCCAGGCTGGTAGTCTCTGGTAAAACATCCATTAGGCTCTGGTAAAATGGATTTCCTTGATGGCAGATCTTGTTAAGAACAAAATGCTCGTGTATTTCCAAATGGCTACTTCCCCCTCTCCATGCCAGAAGCACCAAGTGACTTTTCTCCAGTCTTCACTGTGAGAACCTGGTAAGGATCCTGGAGGTAAAAGTCATGCAAGTAAGGGCCCTCCACCCCAAATTGGTCCATCCTCAAGTTTTTAGCTCTCAAACTTGTCTACAATACAATTCAAGCAACTAATCAATGCCTATTTCAGTTTTTTCTACCTTGTTATTGGATGCTGGTACTGGGTCCTGCAGTGTTTTCTGCTGCTGGGCTTCTGCTTTGATAACTTGAAATTCTCTCTATCTGCCTCTTAAATTGTGAGGCCAAATATTTGCTCTGTGACCTTTGCTCTCTGAAGGACCTTAGAAGAGTTTACTTTTCAGTTTGTTTGATTTTTTTCTTTGTAATGATAAGTTCCTTACGTGTCAGAGTAGAATCCAGAAGTCACATATGGCAGATTTGTTAACTCAAAGGCGACTTCACTCATTATCTTTGTGAAATTTCATGTTGCTTAATATTGGCCCAATATTCCAAAGTTCTTACATAACTTTTTAAAAAATTTATTTTACTCATTTCTTCTTCCAAAACTAAATATAACATAACTATAGCAAAAAATAAGGTTTTTAAAAATAAAAAAGCAAAATCGTATCATTTAAATACCACCCCTTAGGAAATACTATATTTTACTGTATAGTCTTTCAGAAATTTTTCAATATGGACATGTATGTAATATATAATACTGTATATTCACAATGCTGGAATTATATACTCAGTTGGTAAATTGCTTATTTACTCAATGGGTTGTGAACACTTTTTATAACTACAAATATTTGAAATATTTACTTACAATGCAGGATTCTATTCTTCTGAGAGTATCAGTAGGGATCCCTTGGAGACTTCTGTAGGAAATGAAGGGAGAGACCAAGAAATTAGGGCCCCAGTTTCCATTCCGTGGCTTTTATCAAGGCAGTTTCAAGAGCATCTGTATAGATTCCACACAAGTTTTTCTTTACTAAAAGGGTCTTATTGCTTAAAATTTAAACCTATATATTGAAAGTTGCTGCTCTGTACGTAGCTTTCTGATCTGTAGCATCATTCTCATGGGCCGAAGGGCATTCTGTTTGAGGCTTACTGCTGCAGTTTATGTAATCCTATCATCCATTATTTAGGTTGCTTTCAGTTTGATTGTCATTTTTCTTAGACGTGTCATTCTGTTTTAGATATAATTACATGTCTTGTCATTTTTTTAGAAGTGTCATTCTGTTTTAGATATAATTACATGTCTTCTTGGTTGGTGTCATCTACAAAGGTAATAGTCACATTCTCCATGCTGTGTCCAGTTTGTTGAGTTTGCTGTTCCCAGGCTCTGCTCTCAGCGTTTCAGCAACACAGGCCAATTCCCCATCCCTAAATATGCCCTGTCCATGGATGATAGATGTTCACATAAGATTTTTGTGCGATTTGCTCTTCTTCTCCGGAAGCATTTCTAGTTCAGTCAAAAAAAAAAAAAACAAGTCAATCACCAAGTGGAAATACAGTGGAATGCTAAGTTTATGCCTGGGAAAAATAAATACCCTCATGCTATTGAGAAATCTGGTTTCAAGGAAAACACCATGCACCCCAAAGATCAGTGAGTAACACATAACTTAGATAGCTTAAAGCGATGACGCTGTGTAGCCATCCCAAATTTAGACTCTGTGCATATTTAGAAAGCAAATAGTTGTCATCGTCCTTTCATTCTTGCTACTCAGTTTTGAGGAATAGTGATTTTCTAGCAATTCTAAGATTGCTTGTGGCTGGAGGTCCATCTCAGGCTAGGGATTGTTATCTCGAACCTGGACTCTTTGGAAGAACACTGAATGAATGATAAGGCAGAGGAGGGGAGAGATGGTGAGCTAGAAAGGTGTCCCCAGGAGCCATGACAGCACACTATCCTTCAAATGACTTCAGATGACCACAGGTTTCTGCTTACAATAAAGGCACTTTGGTGATAGGCTTGCAAACACCCACTGAGAAGGTACCTCTAAATCTTTCTGACAGCTCACTCCCTTTAAGTTTCTCTGCATCCTATTTCCAACCTCAGCAGAGGGTTAAATTCAACTTACTCTTAACTTGAAGGTGAGCAGTTCATACCAACAATTTTAAGTTAGCCAGCTCCAAATGACTCCAAACTTGAACTTGGAACAAAGTCATCCATCAGAACTCTACTAATTAAATTGGCATAAATTAAAGCTTAATGTCAAAATCAGAACCCAGTCATAGAAACCAAAACATAGATAGTGCCAAGTATTTTGACCTCCACACCCTGCTGACCTGTACAAAGGGATTTTTGTTCAGCTGCAGTTTTTCCTCTTAAAAAAAAAAAAAAAAATTAAAGCTCTACGTGTCAAATCTGCTTACCTTTTAGGGAAAATATGAACAGGAAAGAAAGCGCTGCATGGAATCCTAATCCAGCAATTGCTGGGATTGATCTGATGTCACATAACAAGCGGACAAAGAAAATGGAGTTTCAGCCCAGGAACTCAAATCTAGCATGGGGTTTGTAGATGTGTTAGCCTACTTACTCAAAAGCACATGATTCAACTCTAGGGCAACAGAGCTGTGCACCTCAGCTTTCTTGAAGCCAAGTCAGCCCAACATCTATCACACCAGTAGTGCTGAGTGGTACCCCATCCAGCAGAAGCAGCATCACATGGAAGCAGTTCAAAATCAAGGTCACAGACCTCACTCCAGACCTACAGAATCAGAATCAAGGGCTGGGGCCCGCCCATCTGTGTTTTTGTTTAGTTCTTGAGACAGGGTCTTGCTCTGTTGCCCTGGAGTACAATGGTACCATCATAGTTCACCGCAGCCTTGAACTCCTGGGCTCAAACGATCCTCCAGCCTCAGCCTCCCTAGTAGCTGGGACTACAGGCATATACCACCACACTAGGTTAAGGTTTTTTTGTTTTTCTTTTTTTTGGTAGAGATGAGGTCTTGCTATGTTGTCCTGGCTGGTTTCAAACTTCTCGTGGTCTCAAAGGATCCTCCTGCCTTGGCTTCCCAAAGCATTGGGATTACAGGCATGAACCGCCATGCTAGGCCAATCTGTGTTTTTCATAGATAAGCATTCAGGTTAATACTTGTTTGTACCAAAGTTTTAGAACCATTGCACTATCCAGTGATGATGCATGGCCCTTGCTTAAATTAAGCTCTAAAGATAACTGGAGAAGAAATCCATGTCATTTTGAAATCAAACAAAGATGGATGAACAAGATCGTGTTTGAGTAGGGCATAGCAAAAAAATAAATAAAAAATACCTACTGGCAAGTAAGAGATAGGAGAGATGTTTTTGACTGAGCACCATGAATCATTTCGGCAGTAAAATCGGCTTTTTTTCATTGTCAAGATACATCATTTAAAAAATAAGAAAAATATAAGGCATCCATTTTCTACGAATAATGACTAAAGCCAGGGTTATTTTGTTTCCATCCTTTCACTAGGTTACCAGTAAATTGCATGTACATTTCATGAACTTCCCAACTGAAATCTTATTCAAGACTGTTTCCTCAGAAAGAGAAGATAAAATATATCTCACGTGTCAGTGAGATCATTTCCATAAATATCCTCTGTTAAATCGGTGAGAGTACAGGCACTGATCTACTGCCTGACTCCAGTTTTGTTATTTTAAAAATTCTGAACTTTATCTCTTGTTTTCAGCTCCCCTTGGCTGGAAGAGATTTCATTTGATGACTTACATGGAAGAATGGCTGACATGTCATCCTTCAGGTCTCCCAAGATGGCTTGTTCACGAGCGCTCTTGAGTCAGTGGGTGAACTATATATTGGTTTTTTAAAAGATGACTCCGAATCTGACATCCAGTCACAGAAGGTAATAAAAACCACCACATTAAAACTAGTCTTTATTACATTGGCTTGTCACTTAACTTGCTTATAGTTTATAAATGCACAGGGAAAGAAATTAACATCAAAGAAGTTGCAGTTGATTTTAACCCAACAGGCATCTGCCTACTTTAAATGCTACAAACATTCTTTCTCAGGGAAACTATCTATTTTTTAAAGTTTATTACAATTCATACAGAATTTACTAACTACTTCCTAAAAAGCAAGAGTTTCATCATGGTGTTGGAAACCAAAAACAAGATTTCAATCAAGGACAGTCTGACATTTCTGTTTCCAAAAATAAAACTGCATTATAAAATCAATAAGTTAATGAATTAAAAGATACACACTTTGCCTAAGATAAAAAACACTTAATTGACAAATAATTGTAGAGTGTAATGAAAGAAACAAAGTGAGACTACATAAATGCATTTTTGAAAGATGGAGAAGATCCTAACTTAAATTTTAATACTTTGCTCATATATAGCCAAGAGTAGGAGAGAAAGCCAACCTAGGATCAATCCAAAGTTTTGCAGGAGAAACATCATCCAGGGTCGTTGTGTTTGAACATGAGTCATTTCAGGAAGCTAAAAAAAGAATAAAAACCAGAATAAGATCCAGATATATTCAACTGCTGGGAAAAGCTTGGTGGGAAAACACAAGAGACTGTTATTCAGAACTTAATAACCTTTAAAATTCCCAAAACAGTTACAAAATGCTGAATACCTACTCTACTATGATTTTGAAATATAAGCCATTTGATTGTGGTTATGAGGATCCCAGTATTGGCAAAAGCCTTTTTTTTTTTTTTTTTTTTTTTTGAGGCAGGGTCTTGCTCTGTGACCCAGGCTGGAGTGCAATGGCTGTGATCACATTTCACTGCAGACTCAGCTTTTTGGGCTCAAGCGATTCTCTAACCTCAGCCTTCCAGGTGTGCGGCACTGCACCCAGCCAATTTTGCACTTTTTGTAGAGATGGGGTTTCCCTATGTTGCCCAGGCTGGTCTTGAACTCCTGCTCAGTCTCGAACTTGAACTCAGTCTGACTGCTGCAGCCGCCCAAAGTGCTGGGAATTAGAGGCATAGGCCACTGCATCTGGCCTTTGGCAGAAGTCTTAAAATGACATGGTTATCAACCAAAAACAAACTCTTACTTTTCAGAAAATGATTAAATGTGAAATAGATAAGCTATGAAAGGTATTTATTTTGGACTGTTCTATTAGCTTTATAAAACGACTAAACGCACAGGTTGTTATATGGCATATATATATATATATATATATATATATATATATATATATATACACACACACACACACACACATATATGGGGGAGGAAGGGAAAAAAAGAGGGAGAGACAGGGATGACTAAGGTCTTCCTGATCTTTAGAATAGTAAGAATAGTAAGGACATTATCTCGTGTGTGTGTGTGTGTGTGTGTGTGTGTGTGTGTGTGTGTGTGTGTGTATTCTGTGGTTTTTTTTTTCTTCTTCTTCTTTTTGAGACAGTGTCTCACTCTGTTGCCCAGGCTGGCGTGCAGTGGTGGGATCTCGGCTTACTGAAACCTCTGCCTCCCAGGTTCAAGCAATTCTCCTGCCTCAGCCTCCTGAGTAGCTAGGACCACAGGTATGCACCACCATACTTGGCTAATTTTTGTATGTTTTGGTAAAGACAGAGTTTCACTCTGTTGACCAGGCTGTCCTGTGGCTATATTTTATTCTCAGAGAAACACGTGGCGACTATTTCATGTTTGGGAAATACCCTAACACCATTTAGTGGGAAAGGTTCACTGAAGTATCTGTATGAAGTGCCCCAAGGTGTATTTGTCTCAAATTATTTCAAATCCCTCACCCGGAGAAGTTCAGAGCAAGCATACCCCCTTCCCAACACAGTCATTTCTACCCGGGCACAGGCTGGAGTCAACGTGGATTGGAGATTTAACTCAGTCTTGTCATTGTTGACATTTTAGGCCAGATAATTCTTTCTTGTGAGAGCCCCCTCCTGTCCATTAGAGGAGGTGTAGCAGTATCTCTGCCCCTAGTCATGAAACCAAAAAAGTCTGTAGACATTGTCAAATTTCCCCTGGGGGATAAAAATCACCTCCAGTAGAGAATGACTCAGATTATTTCATGGGTCAAATGAAAGATCAAGGACTTTAGGTTTATGGCAATAGAAAATAGGTTGACACTTTTTTTTTCAGATGGGGTTTCATTCTTGTTGTCCAGGCTGATGTACAGTGGCACCATCTCAGCTCACTTGGGAACCCTATGCCTCCCAGGTTCTCGATAATTCTCCTGCCCTAGCCTCCCAAGTAGCTGGAACTGCAGGCATCCACCACCATGCTTGGCTAATTTTGTATTTTCGGTAGAGACAAGAATTTATCATGTTGGTCAGGCTGGTCTTGAACGCCTGACCTCAAATAATCCACCTGCCTTGGCCTCTCAAAGTGCTGGGGTTACAGGCATCAGCCACCATGCCCAGCCAGGTTGACGCATTTTTAAGTACATGGAGAAGAGCTGAATGTTTTGTTTGGGTGAGCTTGAGATATTTTTTTCTTAATTAGATGGCATGAGGATGGATTACTATGACCTGCCATCTCACACCCTGGCATGGACCAGTGGCATGATCTAAGCTTACTGTGACCTCCCTGCCTCCTGGGTTCAAGCAATTCTCCTGTCTCAGTTTCCTGAGTATCTGGGATGACAGGCACACACCATCACACACAGCTAATTTTTGTGTTTTTAGTAGATACGGCGTTTCACCATGTTCTCTCTCAAGAATGCATAGCTTTTGGCATTATGAATATTTAGAAGTGATTTGCTTCTCCATTCATAAAGTTCACTTAACTGATGTATGACATCTTTTTCTAAGAGGGGTCCTAAAAGTCACTGTGCACACTGAGGCAGACATACCTTTGCATTCGATAAGTAGAACCGTGTTTGTTTCTATGAAATGTGATAAAGACGAAAACTCAGAAACTTATTTTGGAGGGCATCCTAATTATGCTTAATCTCTGGAGGAGTACAGATTTTGTGGGAGTCTCTAACTCTAGCCCATTTGTAAATGGCTTAGTTTGTCCTTGCAGAAAGCAGACATCTAAGAACAAAATGGAACTTGATGGTGCAAGTCACCATTTGGCTTACAAATGTGCAATTTCCTGTCTGTATATGCAAACTATATACTTAACAGTTGACTACCAGGGACTTCTGGTTTCTAGTCCAGCATATAAGGAGCTAAGAAGCTTCCACTCTGTCCTAACAGGTAAAACTGATCAACTGAAAAATCAACAGCTTTTTCTAGATCTATCAGGGAAAGGTACATATTGTCTCACATATTGGACAGACAGCAGGTAGACTCAGAGAATCACAAGTTACCAGGGCAGAAGCCCAACAGCAGAAACCTCTGCTAGAACCAGTCAGTGCAAGGTTAAGAAAACCTGACTGCAATGAATGAACTGCTGAAAGCTCAGCCCGGGCAACTCTCGAGTTTAATTCTGTAAGACCTAGTCATGGAAGGCCCCCAGACTGTGTGAGTTTTACCTCCAGGAGCTACATAGATCCTCACCATGAAAACTGGAGAAAAATCTTCTTATGCTTCTGGTAGGGGAAGAAGGAACATAACCATTTTGAAATATACCAGAGCATTCTGCTCTTAACAAGACCTGCCCTCAGAGGAAACTGGTTAACCAGAGCCTAACCTATTGGGGTTTTATCAAAGCCTAGCCACCTGGGGAAGGAAAAAATTTCAGACCTTTTAGCCATCCTGTTTTACTTAGGGGAAGAGATAATGAGAAACACTGATGAAGTTCATAGTCCAAGGGCACAGGCTCACTAAAAGACTGAGATCTACCAAAGGACTATAGAACCTTCCCCTTCCCCTATGTATTCCTTACTACCACATTACTAATGGCCTATTTAGCACAATTCTGTTCACTCAGGACAGTATGTCCACCTTTCGAATTACAGGACATATTAAAAGGTAATAAATGGTTTAAAGAAACTGAATAACCATCAGAATCAAAATCGGATGTAATAGACATGTTGAAATTATTGGACCAGGAGTTTTAAAATTCTGTGATTAATATGTTAAGAAATTTAATGAGAAAAGGACACAACATTCAAAACAGAAGAAAAATTTAAGCAGAAAAATAGAAATTGTAAGAAAAACATAAATGCTAGAGATTAAAAACACTGTAAAAGAAATGAAGAATGTCTTTGATGAGCTAGTTAGTAGAGTAGACATGGCTAAAGAGAGAATCTTTGAGCTTGAGGATTTTATAAAACAAACTTGAAAAACAGAAAAGCAAAGAGAAGGAGGCCTGGAGAAAAGAAAACTCTGAACAGAATATCCAAGAACTTTGGGACAACTACAAAAGGCGTAACATATTAGACAGAGGAGAAAGAGCCAAAACACTAGAAGGAATATTTGAAACAATACTGATAATTTCTCCAAATTAATGTCAAACACTGAATTACAGATATAGGAAGCTCAAAGAACATCCAGCAGGAGATATGCTAAAAAATATCCCCTACATCTATGCATATCATCTTTAAACTTTAGAAAATCTTGAAAGAAACCAGATGAAAAAAAATCTTACCTTTAAAGAAGCAAAGATGAGAAGTATCTGACTTCTCAGAAACCATGCAAGCAAGAAGAGGGTGAACTAAAATATTTAAAATGCTAAGAGAAAAAAACCTACCCATCTAAAATTCTGTACCCTACTAAATCATATTTCAAAAGTGAAGGAGAAATAAAGACTTTCTCAGAAAACAAAAATAGAAGGAATTTGTTTTTTGCCAGTAGCCATGCTTTGTGAGAAATGTTAAAAATTCTTCAGAGAGAAGGGATATGATATTGGTCAAAAACTTAGAGCTACATTAAAAAAAAAAAAAAAGAATAGCACTTGAGAATAAGGGAAGGTAAACAAAAACATTTATTTTTCTTATTCTTAGTTGATCTAACAGATTACAGTTATTAATAATTATAATATTGGGTACAATTATGTATGCTCATATATAAGTGAAATGAATGAAGATGTAATACAAGAGACAGAGGGAAGAATTAGAGATATTTTATATAAGACACTTGGCACTAGTTGTGAAGTAGTGTAATATTATTTGAAAATAGACTTGGAGGCTGGGCGCAGTGGCTCACACCTGTAATCCCAGCACTTTGGGAGGCCAAGGCAGGCAGATTACAAGGTCAAGAGAAACCCCAGCTCTACTAAAAATACAAAAAAAAATTAGGTGGGCATGGTGGTATGCACCTGTAGTCCCAGCTACTTGGGAGGTTGAGGCAGGAGAATTGCTTGAACCCGGGAGGCAGAGGTTGCAGTGAGCCAAGATCATGCCACTGCACTCCAGCCTGGCACCTGGCGACAGAGCAAGACTCTGTCTCAAAAAAGAAAAAAAAGAAAAGAAAAGAAAGAAAATAGACTTGGATTAGTTGTCAATGTACAGTGCAACTCTAGGACAGCCATTAAAATAAATTTTAAAAGAAGCATGATTTATATGCTAAAAATAAGAGAAAATAGAATCATGTAAAATGCTTCATTAGAAACCAAAAGGCAAGAAAAGTGTGAAAGACAAA